AGTGTAGATTTAGCTTCCCAGGCCATAAGGTAGGACTTGGAGTTAGCCAAGTAGTGTGACACCAAGCAATTTCATAACATTAAACAAAGCAGGCACTCTATCCCTCAAGCAGTATAGAGTGGCAGATTGATTCTAACAGATATGCATTTTATCCTTCATCTCTAGAGGCAATTTACTGCAGGCTGATCAAACAGAACTCACACAATCTCAAACCAGAAATGCCTTAAAACTTATTTCCACTCCAGTCATCCTTTTTGTTTGTTTCTTTGTTTGTTGGTTTTTTACTACTATCTCTGCATGCACTGAGGAAAGTGGTGGAAGCAAATGCCTGAGGTGCCACTTTCATGAGAGAGGGTAGTGAACCATGGATTTCCAGTGATATTAAATATTTGCTTGTCTTCAAGTAGGTATTACACTGAAGAATTTTCCTTCTACCATGTTTCCTGAGGTTTGCTGCTGAACTGAGCAACATTAGTTAAAGAAATCAAACCAGAAGGATTTATGGGTAAGGGAACACAGCAGGGACTCAGTACAGCACAGAGCTTCCAGCCTCCTCTCAGAAAAATAGCAAAAGTTATTTATAGGGAGAAGACTGCCTGCTTATCTAATACTGGCTGATTCAATGAATACCTACAACTTCAGCTTAACTCTGGAAACACACCCATGTTCACCATCTCTACATAGTTCCCTAATTCTTAATACTTCCTCTAACCATGACATTTTGATTACAAGGAGGAAAGTATTTGGGTTGTTAAAAGATTCACCACAAAAACTGTTCTCCAGGGAAGTAGCTGACATGCTATTCAAGAAGCAGCTTCTCCATACACATCTCTTTGTGCTTGATGGCTTAATTGTTTTTCTTTCAGCTATATTAGTGCATGTGCCTGCTCAGTATTGGACATTAGAGGGTGTGCTCCCTGCAGGGATACCAGTGCCTAGATATTTTCTTACACCATAGACTGCATGCAATCTCAAGATCTCCCTGTTCTGAAGGTTTTTCTTCAGACCCTCCAAAATCACAGTGCATTGCATCTTAACATTTTAGGTTTATCTTTTTTTTTTAATTCCCCCATTCCATGCCAAGTATCAAGCAACAGTATTTCAGGCATTGCAAAGCTTCTGTTTGTGAAAAATACTTCATTCCACTTCAGTAGTACTGTTGCCAACTCCTCTTCCCACGCAAAGAAAAGTTTAGAATGAAGTGTTACTGCCTCATTGGTATTTCCAGTTTCTCTAGGGTGCAGGTGTTTGACATTCTGTAGCTTTGTAGGGCCTCACAAATGCACTCTATGGTTACACCTCTGCACCCTGGTTACTGTGTTAGCTCTGGCATGCATTACTTACACCCATGTGAGTGCTTTTCACATCTGGGTCCAGGTAGTGGGGGTTAATATTAAAAGGAACTAAACCTAGGGCCTGCAGGGAAGGTGGATAAACAATTGGCATGTCATTGGTGGTGTTGATGCTGATGGTAGCAACGTTAGTTCCTGCACTGGATCCCATGTAAGGAATCCCATCCTGAAAGACAAAAGCAGTGATCAGTATGCTGTACCACAACTAGGAACTGCATTTTATAGCATCTTCTGTCAGTCTCAGAGACTCAGCAATCAGATCAGACTTAGTTCTTCTAGCTCATCTCACTGCTAACTTTACAGGTGACAAGCAGAAGAATAAGATTCGGGTTCTGAGGCGAACAATAGCTTGTCTGTGTCAGAGAATTAGCTGCTGCACGTCCTGCACTCACAGCTCTGTGACCCCATCACAAGAGAGAACTTAGAAGGTTGTAAGTGCTTATCCTGGACTTCGCTATTAAGAGGTGAGACTTGTCTACGTTGCAGTTACAGGAATTACCTGAACTAGCTTTTAACTACTTTCTGAAGAGAGTAGTCCATCTGAAGTTAATGTTATCACAGCATCAGTTTACCAGTACAATGACCAGTTTAGCATTGTTTAGGTATTAATACTGAATACTAAGCTGTACATGGAAGAATGCCACTCAAGCATGCAAGTTCACAGGTAATAAACATTAGTAAAAATATGCTATCTTGAGAGAGTTGGTGTTAATATAACCAAATAATTGTCCAGATTTCACTGGTATTTGAACATTTTATGGATTTTCCGCCCACAACAGACATTAAATTTCTATAAATTAAGACAAGCCTAGCTAACCTTTCGTCTTGGCAGCTGGCCTTACTGGGCTTACATAAATCTACCTAAAGTCATTTGCAGCTTCACATTGCTGGTGGAACACCTTTCTTCTGTTCTCCTCCAGAGATGGTGTATCTTTACTGTGCCTTACGAGATTCACAAGCCAGAACTGGGCTGCTGAGCAGAAGGGCTCAGTGGCACCCACACCTCTCAATTCCAAGGAGATATGCAAAGTAATTATGTAATTTTCAACATCAACAGAACACTGTCTAAAAGGCATGTATGGATCCAACTTTATCACTAGTTTATTAGCAGACAAGCTGTAACGTGAACACATCTATATCTGTCAAAAAGACACAAAGTGGACATCTCAAACTGAAAAACAGGGTTTCTGGACATAGACTAAGTCCTGCACTGTTCTTCATTGATATTTCAAGTTGAGAGACTTATTTCTAAGGTTCACAGCATTGTACATCTCAAAGTCTTGCAGTCCCACATCTAGGAAACTGTTCTAGAAAGACAGACTGCTGACCTTGGTCATTTCAATGACTTAATGGCAGGTTTATATGGCCACAGTTTTCAGTTCATCAGATTGCCTGAGATGGCTCAACATTTGAAGTATATTAGAAACAAAGATGTAGTATCAGTCTGGATTTGTCTAAACAAAAGCTTATGCATGAAATCCTGCCATTCAGACTTGGCCAGAGTCCTGTAGTTTTACCTCAAGAACTCTTTTCCTGATCTCGTGTATCAGACTGTTGTCGTAAAGAGCTTTCAGGAGACGGAATGTGTTCCCACCTCCTGCAGAAAGAAAGTCCAGCTTATTTAACATGCTTTCACCACCAGTTTTAATTGAAGCCTTTACAAACTTGGCAGGCTCAATGAGTTCTATGCTCTATTCATGGTACTATCCTGCTTTGAGCAGCAGTAAAACCAGAATCTTTGCAAGAACCGTCATTGGGCAGGCCATGGGCTCATACCCTGAGTCCTTCTTGTAAGGCTGACACTGGCTGTTTGACTGTTCTAATACCCAGGAGCATGGTATTTGGACTAGATCTTCTTAGGCTTGATAAAGTGATGATACAGCTGTGATGATCATGTTTTTACACTGAAGTACTGTTCAAATTAATAACTTGAAATTTATGGAAGATCCATTAATAAATCTCTCCTACTTCCCTGCCTACCACTAAATTTAGGGTCTTCAGTCTCCCAGTTAAAGTACTGTTTTCTGTAGTTTCTAATGATTCCTAGGCCCAACTTTTTAATTGTTGGTCTATAGTGCCAGTTCTGAGCAGGACTATTCAAGTGCCCTACATAAACCATCAATGGGAAGTGAGAAGTAAAACTTACCAATAAAAATTGCTTCAGATTTCCTTACAGCTTCCACTGGGTCACAAGATTCGTGAATGCTGTCCAGCCCATAACCTTAAATGAAAAAGTATTTGCCTTTGCCACTTCAGTCTGGTGGAAGAATGTAGTATGTTCAATCTCTCCCTGCCCACCCCCTGCCCCCCACCCTGAGCCAAATTTTTTGCCAGACAACCAGGGAAATTTCTGAGAACTCTACAACATAAAACAGAGTGTATGTCCTACATTACTGCAGAGCTTCTGCATCCAACTATACCAAAGGAAATGTTTGTTTTGTGGATATATGTGTTCAGTGTCTAAGAGCAGAGCATTTCACTCAGCAGGTGCAGGCTGAGGCAAAACATTACCAGGTAACTAAAAAATAAGGAAAAAGCTGTCAGTCTTGAACTTGGCTGTGCTGAAGTCTGATAGGATGTGCTGTCATTGGTCTATCATTACTTGTGCAAATATCTAATCTGAGTGTAGTTTCTGTTGAAATGGCTTTCACAGATTTGCCTTACTGGGGTTCACTGAGTACAGGAAGGGTCAGGAGAGCCAGAAGAACATGGACATTGGAGAGCAGCAATGTTTTTGCAAATCAAAGAGCAAAGTGTGCTGCCTAGGGAGGCAAGTACTGATTATTAGTACAATAACAGGTCCAAAGTTACCCTCAACAGTGATAGATATTGGGTGGAGGTGTTGCTGTAGGCTGCTCTGCAAAGATCTTTGCTCCAAGCAAAGCCATCTTGCTGTTCATTGAGGAACTATCTGGCTGGTTGAAGTTATTTATAGAAATGGTCTTCACACAAGTGGTTGCACGCCTTGAGCATATACGGGAAGAAATGTTCCCTCATGTGATTAAACTTAGTATTTAGGAATAAAATCTTCCTCCCTGAAGTGGGTAGAAGTGTTGCAGCAGGATTTCTTCTGGAGGCCTCTAAAGCATCTGCTTCTAGGCAGAAGTCTGGAGACGGCTCCCGCTGCTCTCATTTCCATTGCTGACCCATTGTAACGCAGCAGCCGAGCCAGGCCCCTCCTGCAGCGCTGTGCCCGTTCGTGCCGGGCAGCACCGACCCTGCAGCGCCGCCGGCCCGGGGTCCCAGCGCCCCATCCCCGCACACGGCCGGGGCTGCGGAAGCCGCGGGCAGCCGGGCCGGCCTTACCCAGGCTCTCAAACTTCTCCCTGGCGGTCCGGGCGTAGGCGTCGCGGTCGTGCAGGGCGTAGGGAATGAACAGCACCCGCTTCACCTTCCTGGCAGGAAAGAGGGGAGAGAGCGGTCGGCGGGGCGGGGGCTGGGGCCGGGAGGGCTCCCGCAGCCCCCACAGCGCTTACTGCCCGAGGAAGCTCTGGATGTGCTGCTGGCAGTGGCCCAGGTACCCCCCTCCGTGCAGGGTGGAGTTAGACACCAGCAGCAGGCGCCGCGGGCCCCCCATGCCGCCCCTGCCGAGCCGAGCCGAGCCGTGCTCCCTGCCCTGCCCGGCCCAGCCCGGTCCGCCCCTTCCTGCCCCGCCGGCGGCGCCGGGGTGGAGCTGAGGCACTGCCGCCGCCGCCCCGGCCCGGCCATGCTGGACTTCGCCATCTTCGCCGTCACTTTCCTGCTCATCCTGGTGGGCGCCGTGCTCTACCTGTACCCGGTAATGCTGCCGGCGGCGGGGTGGGAGGCGCACGGCCCGGCCCCCGGTGCAGCGGGCGGGGAGCGAGCGGCCGAGCCGGCCCCGGCCCCGGCCCCATCCCACGGCCCCTGCCCCATCCCCATCCTACGGCCCCGGGCTCGGGCGGTGCCCTCTGCCCTTACCCCGCGGCCCGGGCCCGGGCGGGGACGTGGCAGGGCCATCGGGAGCGTTCCCTGCCGTGCGGGGCGTTCCCGCGGCACTCCTCCTGCTTTCCGTGCCCCTGAGTGAATCCGCTTACCAAAGGCGTTGTCTGCTCACCGTGCAGTTTTGCAGGTCTGCAGGGCAAAATCTGTGTGTAAGATCCCACACTGCAAACCTGACCGTTTAAATCTTTACACAGACATCTTTCATCTAACCAGATGAATAATCCTGGTTTAGCCAGTGGGACCAGGCACACGCTTGCAGTTTATCGGCTTAGCAGGTCTGAAGCCTGCAGATGTAGCATATCCAGCTTTTGTTTAATATTTGTAAGTAGTGCAGCAGTATGTGTGTGGAAAATCCATCTCTCCTGCTGAAAAGCTGTGGGGCTTGTATAAAATCTGAAGTTTCCCATAGACTGATGCATTTCCTTTTACTCTAGGCATCTAGGCAAGCATCAGGTATCCCTGGGCTGGCTCCAACTGATGAAAAGTAAGTCACTTCCATCTGCACGTTGAACAAGTTCAGCATTGGCAGAGGATGCTGTTCATAACCAGATATCCTCTATGTTCCTCAGGGATGGTAATCTGCCAGATATCATTGCCAGCAGGAGTTTACATGAGTTTCTGGTGAACCTTCATGAGAAATATGGCCCACTGGTCTCTTTCTGGTTTGGAAGGCGTCTTGTTGTCAGCCTCGGCTCCATTGATCTCCTGAAACAACATATTAACCCCAACCGGTTGTGTAAGTGCCCTTTGCATTGTCTTTGAGTCCATTTGTTCCGGCCTTGCTGGGCATCCTATGTCAAAGGCAGTTGAGGTTTCATTCTAATTTGAAAGAAAATGAAAGAAAATCTTAGCAGTTGACATGGTGGTTCAAGTATGGCTTTGCTCCTGCTTGCTGGACTTGAATATCAGTGACGAAGAGTTACTGCTGTCCAATGGCCATCAAGAAATCAGTGCACTCTTGTCTTATACTGTCTCTCTATAGGCAAATGTTTATGGAAATCATCATACTCAATATCACTTGAGAGAGCAAGGTGAAGGTCTGGTAGCCACTTGGCATACATTTTAAAGGCAGCTTGAAATATGGTTTAAGAGGGGAAATTTTGCTAAATTAAGTCTGAAAACAATTAGGCTAGTTTATGATAACTGCCTTGTATAGTTCAGCATAGAGGCTTTTAAAACTATTATTTGAAGAAGTTCTTTAACCTTTGTTTTTCTTTGGTGTGTAGAATTTTGTGCTGAAAACCTTTAATGATCTTCCGGTCTTTCAAGTGGTTGGTGGTGCTGATAGCTGAGTTGATCATCTTAGTCCTGGGAAGGTATTTTAAAATATGGTGTAAGTCTCTTAGGTGGGCGTTTTGCTTCCTAAGGTGATCACAGTCAGTGAGTTAACTCCGTTGATGTTTGGGTTTAATCTCTTGCTTTTGTGGTTTTTATCTTATGAGGTTGAATGAGGTGCTGGGTGCACACCTCTGACCTGATCCTATAGGCTGTCTTTGGGCACAGGCAGATATCTCAGATAACTTCATGCTGGTGTCATGATGGGTAAGCTTCATGTACAGTTGCATGACAGACTCAAAAAAAATATGGTTACAATCTGGGAAAGGAGTGGGAGTTAATGAGAATCAGCAAGACACAGTGGATAACGATGACACTCCAGAAGGTGGAAAACCACCCTGAAAGATCTAGATGTTCTCAAGTGTGTTTGGGGGAAATTGAGCAGACAGTCACTTTCTCAAAGCTCAGAGAAGTGGTGACAGGCCCCTGAGCAGGCAAGTTCTCAGAAGTATTCTGAATTTGGGAGTATTTGAATACCAGAGAAAGATAAATATAGCACCTGGACGTACATGCAGGAAATTAAGTGACCCAGGCCACTACAGACTAGCCCAGCATCCTGCTATGCCAAGGACTAAACGTATTTTTAAGCATGAGGATGAATAGGATGCATGTTGTACCTTGATAATTAGACTTCTAGACAAGGAAAGTGATAGAACTGTGGTTTTGTTAAGGTTTCAGTTCAGAATTTGCTTGGACACTGTGTGGGTCATCATAATGGCATAAGAGAGACGAAAGAGGAAGGAAGGGTGGATTGTCTTGGTAAAATGAAATACTGTGCTGGGGTGATGACGTACTCCCACTTAACATTAGCATCTTGTCCTGATGGCATTATGCTGGAACCTTCTGTCACCACAGGGAAGGAGAGTGAGATGGTTATCCCTGAGAGCTGGGGTAGCAGGAACAGGAAGAGGAGGGGAAAAAGCAGGCTGCATGAATTGCCCTCAATTCAGTCATCACACGGCCATGGATGAAAAAAGAAAGGGTACATTGAGTCATGTATTTTCTGTAAAGAGAGGAAAACATCTAGACTGTTGCACAAGATGAACATGAGCCAGACCTGGAATCCTGTATGTGGCTCTAACCTCTGTACTCTGGCATGATGTTGAATAAAACAAGTGCAAATGAAGGCTGCCAGTGTTATCAGAGAAATGGGAAGCCAGTTGTGCAGAAGCCAGGGAAAGTGTGTTCAGCCCGGCAGAAGGAAGAGCTTATGGGGGGGATCCTCATAAAGGCAGCAGCAACAGGCTTGAGAAGGAGGGTTCTCATGATCTCAGACCTGAAAAAGCAGAGATATTAGTTGTATCAGTACTTTCCTTTTAGCGTGGGTGCTTGTCAGAAGTGCTCAAATTTTTTTAGAGGTGATGACTTTTACTGGTTGTATTTCCTGAAGTGTTGAGGTATAAACAAACATAGCTGAGTAGCTGTAGCAAAACCCTTCCTGTACTATTTCTTATGGAGTGAGAACAGGGGTTGTGGTTGCTCTAAGCCATGAACTGGCTCTGGGCAGCTTGCAGTTTTGTTGGAGATGTGGTCTTACCTGTGTCTCTTCTATGCACACAGTGCTGTGGGACAGGAAACAGCCCACAGTGGACTGCATTATATCCAACTTCTGACTCTTCAGCCCCACCTGAACATCCTTGCCATCTGACTTCCTCAGTCTGCTGGGGTGCCTGAGGCCAGAGCTGCTTTTCATAGATGCCTGCCTGTTGGTTTCCAAGGTTGAGGTGTAGGGTTTGGCTCCAAGTATCATACAAAGGTTCTTCTCATCTCCTGTGTGTGTCACAGGTATGACCAAACTTCTTGGAGACAGAAAGAGAGAGAGGTGCAGATAGTGCACCTCAGATCAGAGCCTTGAAGTTGGACTAATTGCATTCATAGTTATTAATATTTCCAATGCCAGGAGACTTTTTCCTTATGCTTAAAACAGTGTTTGAAATTGGTATGTTTTCATGGCCTCTTAAAACTTGGTTGTGATTAATTTGCAAGGAGAATTCAAAGGAAGTAAAACTTTGCTGCTGATACTGGTGATTCCCCTGAGTGGCTCTGGGGAAGGAGTCCAGGCCTGCAAAGAGTGTGGATGTGAAGAGGGTGGACTAATGCAGGATTGCCAGGAGCAGTACATTCAGAGACCCACTTGGAAAACTCCCATGAGTTGATGTTCCATTTCGAGTGGGACAATGAACCTGAAGCACATTGAATGCTGGAGATGGAACTATGGGTTCTGACCTGTCTGAGCAGAACAGCTTCACTGCTGTTCTGGAACCATTTGTATTGTGTAGCTTCAAAGGTCCTTTCCATCTCTGATGTCCAGTTCTGCTTGGCGTCTGGCTTGACTATCCAGTTAGATCTTTTCTCCATTAGTAATTGCAGTGGCATCCAGGACAGCACTCTGAGGTTCTTGGGATGAGGGAGAAGACTTCCTTGTAAATGAATGGATCAATCAAAATTTTTATATGTTTCATTAAGAGGACTGAAAATGTAACCCTGGAGATATTTTCAAGACAAGGACAAAGGAAGAAGTCTGTGAAAGTGCTGGCAGAACAGAGCTCTCTCCAGAGACAATTTGTGCCTTGTGGAGTCACTGGCCTCCCGCAGCTGTGGAGAAATGGCCATTTCCCAAATGGTGCAGAGCCAGCCCTCAGCAGAGGACAGCCTGGGTGCTGCAGCCCTGAGAGCACAGCAGTGAGTGTATCACTTGTGTGGGACTGCCAGTTTGGAATAGGGACAAGGGGAGGAAAAAACGGAGCCTGTGGCTCATCCAGCAGCTTGCTCTCATATGCACCAGAAAAACTTTGCAGTTCCAGCAGGTGTTGGTGTTAAGCATCCTCCAGCCTCTCTAGATGCCTCTGCTTTCTGGATTTGCTGTGTGGGCTTTTACCACCTGCCATCTGTCTTTCTGGCTACCCAGTGTTGTGCCAAGCTCTGCCAAGGCCAGTCGGCAGGGAACCATGGCATGAATAGCAGCAGCCAGTCCATGACAAAGTACATTGGAGGAGGAATTGTCAGCAGCAGCTAGAGTCACGTAACAGCCTGCTCCACGTGGAGAGCCACAGGTACCATCTGCTGTGCCAAAAGACACATGCTCATACTCCTTGTAATTCTAAGTGGGAAAGAGGGTGAGATCCAGAGCTTAAAAACATTGGAAGGGAAAAGATGTGAGAGAAAAACATTTAGGAAAGATTACCATATTCATGCCTCTGGCCTTGTTAGCTGCTTTTATGCCATTAGGTAGTAAGTCCTCTGCAGGTGGAATTGTCTCTTCTTGTATGTTTGTCCAGTGGCATAATGATCTCTGCAGGGAATCCTAGATACATCCACAGCTGGTAGAGTCATATGTGTCTAGCCCAACCTCGATGTTTTCTGATGCCTCAGAGGTTTCACTCTCCATCTGGGAGAAATAAGACTGTGATATCCCTCTTGAAAACCCTGATTGCTGCTTCCAAATAGTTCCTTAAAGATTCTGCCAGTTCTGCAAGACCCACTGAAAGGTTTACAGAAAGGGGAAAACATATGCCATGCTTTTTTGCACCATTTTGCATTGACACCTAATATACTTTAGCAAATATATTAAATAGAAGTCCCTGGTGGTGAAATTCAAAGTTAAAAATCTAACTGAAGTGAGTCATGGATATGGAAGTTATGTGGTTTTGTCTAGTTTGTACACTGTTGCAAGTGTCTGTGTGGAAGGAAAATGGAAAGAAGGCAATTAGCAGTAGAAAGCATTCTATAGCTTACTGGGGTACTGTTTTCTGTAAGAGGTTCAGAGCTCTGCTGGAGGCAGCCCTGACAGAGAGGCAGCTGCTGATTTGAGAAGAGCTCATCAGCAGGGAATTCGGTGCATGCAAGAGAAATCATGCAGGAAGAGTAGGGTATCAAATAAGGTTTGCTGGGGCTGTGAAGCAAGGGAAGGAGTGCAGAGAGCAGCCTCTGGCTACATCTGTCATGTGAGCTGATATATCCTGAGTGCATAGCCTTGATCAGGGCAGGAGGGCACACCAGATGTGAAGGGGTAATGTGCTAAAGGGGCTGCAGGTCAGGCTGGAGAAGGGGAAAGACCATGCTATACTCAATCTTGTCACCAAGGCAATGGCACAACCACCTGGGAACTGGCAAACTGGGAACAAGCTCTGAAGACATTGTTACTTAAAGAGTTACTTGGTAGAGCCAGCAGGCAAGCTCTGCTGGGAGAGCTGATCACAGGATGGCACCCTGCCCCAGAAAAGAGACCTTATGAGGTCCCAGCCCACACTGAGCAAGAGAAGCTTGACACCCCAAAGAGAGTGTTCCTAGGGGAAGGAGCTGAGCACCCAATTAAAGAAGTTGCTGTTTTCATCAGCCCTGCGTAGTGTGACTTTTGAATGGTGTTTCCTCTATTTGCTTTCAGTGGATCCCTTTGAGACAATGCTGAAGTCCCTCTTGAGGTACCAGTCCAGCCTGAATGGGGATACAGGAGAGAGCCACATGAGGAGAAAGCTGTATGAAAACGGTGTGACCAAGTCCTTGCAAAGTAACATTGCTCTCATCCAGAAGGTGTGTAACTGCCTTTGTACAGCAGAGAAGCCCTGTGTGTCTCACAGGGGAAAGTTTAATGAGAATGATCACTAGGATAAAGGACCTGCATTTCAATTAGTGCTGGAACTATAAGCATCTGAGACAGCAAACAGCCTCTACCTGTTCAAGCATGGTGTGAATATTTGGTTTCTCTTAGCTCCAAGGGCCAGGGGGAAGGGTTGAGCTTGGTTACTTTTTATGCCAAGATACCAGATGCAGTTAAAGATACTGCAGCACCCTGATTCTAGATATATTTCCCAGGACAGGAGGGAGGGGCAAGGAACCAGCTATTGGGACCACAAACAGGTGAAGAACTGTTCTGTTGATATAGTCCAGCATCCAGAACATGATGGGTTTTCCCAGTCTGGAGCTATTAGTGTTAAAGGGTTTGAGGTTTCTTTTGTGACAGAGGGAACAAGAGAGGAGGATAGGGCTGCCTTGTTGGGAGAAAACCTTGAAAGAGGCAGAAGATTTGAGGCTAAAATGTTACTGTTTAGGTTAACAAGGGAAAGAAATCCTGGAAAGTGTGTAGCTTCATGCCGTAGTCATGAAAGTGTGGTCTGCCTTAGGAGCTGCCTTACGGTGGGAATGTCTCCAGGGGGTGTTTGGTAAATAGACTGCTGATCTTACTTCTAACTAATTGTTCATTCCCTCTCAAGCTGTCAGAAGAGCTGCTAGCCAAATGGCTCTCCCTTCCCGAGGCACAACATGTGCCACTCTGCCAGCACATGCTGGGCTTTGCCATGAAGTCTGTCACGCAGACAGCAATGGGCAGCAGCTTTGAAGATGACCGGGAAGTCATCCGATTCCGCAGGCACCATGATGCAGTAAGTGTCATGAAGAGCCAGGAAATCTCCTATTATATTTTTCCAAACTAAGAGCACAGAGCTTGTGTCTGTGTGCAGTTTAGTACAAGCTACTGCTGTGACTTTAAGGTAAGAGCTTGAGGGCTCTGCCTCAATTGTCCCAAGCTAAAATAGTTAGAAAGATCCTACTGTTGTTCCTGCTGTCATTAGTCTGAAGTGTTTCTAAAGGATCCATGGGTATCAGGAACCTGGATCCAAAGGCAGTTGGGAGATCTTTGGTACCTAAGTCAGTTAAACTCTCTTTGGAGTGCCAGTGGAACTTATTTTTGAAGATCTTCTGAAGGCTCTCTGACATCGTGGAGAAGACAAAATCTGAGGAGATCTCAAACTGTACCCACATATGAGGATGTTAAATCTGCTGGTGGTAGGGCAGGAAAGAAACAGTTCCATCTCCTGTTAAAGATTCCCATACCTTTTCCCCTACAGCTGTAATTACAGTTGTTTCATTTCCACTTAATTTCAGCTATAATAGATGTAGTATCTGAAATGGGACGTGGTGTCCTAAAGAGAAGACCAGTTCCGTGTTCACGGGAAGTCAATTTTATTTGGTGTTTTCATTTCCCTGAGTAGGGAAGAATAGAATAGTCCCAGCAGTGTCAGCCTGTGGTGAGTGATGGTACTGTTCTCTCTCTCATTTCAGATCTGGTCAGAGATTGGGAAAGGTTTCTTGGATGGGTCTCTTGACAAAAACATGACTAGGAAGAAGCACTATGAAGATGGTAGGTTCCTCCCAAAATCATAGTTTTTCTCCCACTCTGATTAATACTTAGGAATTAGCTAGTCTATGAAAGCACTTAATTTGCCCAGCTGTCTTGGCTTTTCTTCAGAATTGGTTATCATGCCATAAGCTACCAGATGTGTTGTACTTACTCTCACATAAGATCATTGTTTTGGAGTTGAGTGACAAGCCTGCCATTACTTGAGAAGTTTGTAGGACTAGAACTCTAGTTCCAGGCCTAATTCTAGGGTCTATCCAGTCTGAAGAGTGATAGAGGTGAAGTATCAGGGTATGCTTGCTCCCTTCCTATTCTGTTCCCTAGTGTCAACTTTTGACCTCTCTTGGAGGCAAGCAACTGTACTAGGTGGAGAGAGATGGACCCACTTGGTTTGGCCTCTATGGGCATCCATATGATGCACCTTTTGGGGAATGCGCTGCCAGACAGTCACTCACAGGCTGGAGGACACAAGTACAGAGGTGCTGCTTTGAGGGATACTTTCCATGGGATAGCCTCTGATGTGCTCTTACAAGGTAACATGATTTTCAGGTCTGTTTTGGCAGTACTTTTGTTTTTCATATATTTTATAGTAAGTAATTTTATTTTTTGGTTGTCCTGTCTTTTTTCGATCTTAATAATTAAACCCTTTCAGTATTGATTGATAAGATGTTAAACAAAAGTAGCTTCAATTTGGAACTAAGGATTTGCTTGTAAATCCTCCAGACTCAGTGTTTCCTTGTTCTTGGATAGTCTTCAGTAGGTCATTTAAATCAGGCAGCCAATGGCATCTAGGTCCCTAACTGCCCTTAGTTCTCACGATAGTTACCAGGAGTTGGGCACTCAGACAACTTCAGATGTGTGAACTTGTTGTGCCAAAACCCTCCCACATTTTCCCCACCCTTCTCTCTCTGCCTATGCAGACTCTTTAGCACAGAGCCATCCTCTTGCTCCATGCCTGTAGAACCCCTGGCAAAAGGGGCACCATCAGTGGCTGGAGGTGCTGTGGTACTGTAGTAATTATAGCCCTCCAAGTCAGGTAACCAGTGTTATGTGGCTCATACATGTTTTCATGGAGGCTGATTAAACAGTGGTGGTTAAACATGGTGATTTGACTTCCCCTTAAGTGATTTCAGCTCATAGAGTGCACATCTTGGTTATACCCGTAAGGATGGCTTTTTACAGGCAACCTGTGCTATTTGATTTCTACATTTTCAACTAAACTGGAGATGCTGCCTTTCAGATTGACAGTAACATGTAACAGAGGCTGCTTCTGTAACTGAGCCCAGCAGGGACAGCTGGTCTGAAAATCTGCTTTAGGAGACGGATTTGCTTCTCTGCAGCACCAGTATGACCAGATTTTAAAATAAACATTTCTTTTTTGTTCCAAAGCTCTGGTGGAGATGGAATCCGTCTTAAGGAAAGTTACAAAAGAGCGCCGAGGCAGATCATTCAACAGGCATGTCTTTGTAGACATCTTGCTGCAAGGGAGCCTGAGCGACCAGCAGGTCTGTGCAGCTGTTATGTCATTACACAGTAATGGAGTTTTGATAGATGGGCAACTCATTACATTGTAGCCTTTGATTAGTGTAAGTTATTATTGCATCTTAGCTCAGATTCTTTACTAAAGCAGGATTTCTAGTTCTTTTTTCCACTCCTACAGTGTTTAATTGCATTAGGCTTTGGTAGCTTTCCTTACCACTGCTTCATAGCTATTTTTATAAACCAGAAATATGTTAATATTAAGCATGTCTCATGTGCAATTCCCGTGGAATTTCTACAGAGAGTTCAGTCCATGTCTTCTAGATTTATATCCTGCTCTTTGCACTAAAGAGATTTCATGTGCTTGAGTGGAGAATGTGCTACTTCTTTTTTATCTTTACAGTCTTACAAACTTCAGTCTCTGAAGTAGATTTTATTTCCTAGATTCTGGAAGATACAATGATTTTTACCCTGGCAGGATGCATAATCACTGCTAACTGTAAGTACAGATTGTAGGTAACTTCCCATCCTTACACTAGGATGCCTAAAACTCTTTGTGATGACATGAGACTTATCCTAGGCTAATAAAAAGTTGTATTCATCATTTTCTTTCTTCTGAGCTACAAACATATAGGAGAAGCTAATTTTTACATCAGACTCTTGACACAGCCTCACAGCTACTGAATTGAAACCAAGCTGTGTTTGACAGCATTCCCAGTCTTTTGGTGAACCTTGGAATTTCTTCCCATTGCTTTTTGCTTGCACTCTTAACCCCAAATAACTGATGCTACATTTGATGAAAAAGCATCAAAATGAATAACCCCAAAGATCCTGTTGTAAAATAGGTTCTGGCACATGGGAAAGAAATTATAGTAGAATGTTGGAATCTGCCTGGACACTTTGAATTTCTGGAGGATAGGTATGTTTCATGTATGGAGGATATTCAAAGGAGTACTCTGGGATTTGTGCAAAGACTGTGGCAAAGAAATACAAATAAAAATACTAGCTGAAGCTGTGTAAAATATCTTATGATAGGGGGATGGTTATCTGGCCCTATATCTCAGCCAGTGGGGCTGGGACTCCAAAGAAAACCTCTGAGGTGCATCTAGGTGTTAAACAATGTGGAAAATAAATTAGGCAACTATGATAATACTCTTCCTCAGGGAATATCCTCTGCAAGTACTCCAGGAAGACTGTAGTTTTAAGGGGCTTGAATACGCATGGATTCCAGATAGTTCTCACAGACAGACATTTTTGAGTGCTAGAAACATTTCCTTGTAGCTTTACATCCTACACACTTATTTCTTAAGCAAGGTTTCTTTGTCACTCTGCTATTGAAGATATCTTGAGTACTTCATAAAAGAGATGTAGTGGAGACAAGTGCTGACCAACCTGCTGCAGAGAGTTCCTTGTCAGGAGCCCCGGGCATTGGCTGTGCCAATTCATTTCCATGGTTGGTCTAATAACCCTGATTCCAGGGCTTGTTGATCTGTATGGTTCCTTTGCCAGAGCTGAGGGACTGAATGACTTAGTCTCCTGCACAGCTCCCTAAGCTCCTCACAGCATCAGAAAGAGAATTTTAGCTTGCAGGGTCTCTTACTACACAGGAGTTCAGCTCTGTTCCTGCCACTGAATACAGAATCAGCACAGCCTGCGGTGAACAGAGGTCACCCTTTTTTAGGTCAGAAAGTAACACTGAAATTACAGGAAGTAAGAAAACTGAATGCAGGTTGTAAAGGATTGAATATTCTGGGTCTAGTCTTGTCTTGATTTCTTCCCCAGTGTGTACCTGGGCAGTCTATTTCCTGACAACCTCAGAAGATGTCCAGCAGAATCTCTACAAGGAGGTGGACCACATTCTGGGGAAGGGACCAATTACACTTGAGAAAATTGAGCAGCTCAGGTGAGTCCTATAGAAGGAACTGCAGAGCAAGGGTATGTCATGTGGGACAGGGGTTTCACATGGAACCTGATGCCTAGCCTACATTGGGCCAGGAGAAGGCATCCAAAAGCTACTCCTTTTTTTTTTTCTGGAAGTGATCAAACCACAGGATGACTTGCAACACAGAGAGAATCTGCTATAGGACTCCAGACATGGGGACCAAGGTGCTCATTTCAGGGTGTCTTTTGAAAACCCTTTACGTTCATTGGTAGAGGAAAGTACAGAATCAGTGCCCTGGCTGCCAGGCCAAAATTTGTTTGCTTAACTGTATTGTTTGGTTTCTGTCCTAGTTTTCCAAAAGTAGAAGTAATCAGTCATTTTCCTGATTGGATTCATGTTCAACATATTTAGAAAGAAAACATGGACCAATCTTCTTTTCAAAGGACCACTGGATGATGACTAGTCAACAGTGCGTCTTTATTTTTTGTGCATCTGTTGGTTTAACTGAGTGCATTTTGGTTTTGGACTAGTGTTAGGGTGGGTTTCTTGCTGCTTCTTATATGGGTGAGAGAACCACAAGAAGGACTGGTGTGTCTGTGCTTTTTAGCAGTTTTAGTTTGGTTTAAAATCTGAAAGAAGAGAGATTTCGATAACCTTTCCGTAAAAGCTGTTAATGAGATTTAGTGCTTCTTGCAAAGCTGGGACTCCTTGCCAGAAAAAAACTGCAGCAGGTGACTCAGCTCTCCTTGCTGCCACAGGGATGTGGACAAGCTTCTCTCTGGAGGGTTAAACTAACCAAGTGTTACTGGTTGCAGATACTGTCGGCAAGTCCTGTGTGAGACAGTGCGAACAGCAAAGCTGACCCCCATTGCTGCACAGCTGCAGGAGCTGGAGGGCAGAGTCGACCAACACACTATCCCCAAAGAGGTAGGGCCCTTTTGGGAGCACTAGGCCACTCCTTTCCTGTAGGGGGAGTTTGCTGTTTCCTCTTTTTCCCGACTAGGGGTTGAGGCTGGAAGACCTTTTCTTCTCAAACTGTTCAACCTGAGTAGCTAGCTGTTCTGTCATCTGAAAGTACAGTTTAGCTCAAAGTTTGCCTGCAGTTCCTCTGCAGGAGAGGCTCTGGGAATTCATGTTCTCTTGCTGAGCAGATTTGCTTCCAGTTCTGGGTCTATCAGAGATGAGTAATCTTTTGAAGGGGCTTATAGGCTCAGTTGTGCATGAAAGAACATTGTTTAAGGCCTGATCATATCACTCATCATATCACCTTCCATTGCAGAGAATAAAGTAGCCCATACATACATGCCAGCAAGAGCAGAGAAATGGGGTCAGACCCTTGGTAACCACTAACAGTCACAGCATGATTCTTAGAAGTTAAAATCCTAACATCTGGGCATGGATTATGGAAATCTGTAGATGAATATAGCATAATTGTCTTTTTAATCCACCTAAATATGAGTAGCCTACAAAGTAATCATCATCCAGCAGAGCTGTCCAGAGGTGTCTTTAATTGTGCATTTCTTTCTGTTTTGACATAAATGTCATAATTTTCTTTGCAGGCACTTGTGCTTTATGCTCTTGGTGTGATGCTGCAGGATAGTTCATCTTGGCCATCACCATACAAGTATGTAGAATCAACTTATTGCAACTAATTCCTTTCCTTTTTGAAATTAGATCTTAAAGTACAGCCTTTTAGGCTGCAGGGCCTGCCTTGAGCAGATTTTGGAGATGAAAGGCAGTGTAAGAAAATTAGTTTATTAAGGTTTTGGTTTGGTTTTCTCCATGGATATGCTTTTGGAGCAATTAAAGTCATGATCCTCCCATGCTCCAGTCTTCCTGTGTGCGTGTGTGTGTTAGAGTTTAATAAAAACTTTTTTTGTGCACACACAAAAAGCTTCCCTGGAAAATGCTGGTAAATTCTGTTTAAGGTTTTCTGTGAAACAGTGACTTGAATGGCTTTGGAATCCCTGCTTGTCATCATGAAACAATGATACAAGAGAGGAAATGTCAGCCTGAAATTTTTGTTTTTTCAGGGGGAAGGGAAATGCTGCCTCATTATTTCTGTCTGTGAAAACAGAACAGGATCCAGGCCAGTGTTTTGGAGGTTAAAGAAAAAAATTGCTGTAGCTTCCTGTGGCCTCCAGGTGGCAAATATTAACGTGCATCTGACTTACTTCACTTGAGCTGGGAAAAAATGTGGGTCAGTTATTCTAGACAGAGAGAAAAGACAGCTGAAATTTAAGAGAAAGAATAGAGCCTTTAGAACAGCACTTGTCTGGTGCTGTGAGTATACCTCTTAGAAAAGGCTCAGGCACTGATGCACCACTCTACAAGCACCTTGGCAGGCATTCCCTGCTAGGATAGGACACGGCAGTGTTTAGGTTTGCTGAGGCCTCGTGGGAGAGACAGTGAGGACTGCTATAAACATTGTGTGTTTATTCCAGGAAGACTGGGGTTGAGCCTGAAGTAGATGTGTATTTCTGTGACAGAGACAGGAGATCAGCTCTGTGTGATGCTTTCACCTATCTGCTGTACAGAAACACCGTGCATAGCTGTTTGCCCTCCCTATTTATTTGCTAGGCAGCTGCATTTTCTCTCCTATTACATCTGTAATTTGCCACTTCAGGAGGAATGTAAGTTTGATGCTGCTATTCCTGAGAGTCAGCACCCACATGCCCTTTCACCTTGTTAGAAGCAGAGCTTGGATGTTTAGGCAGGGAAATGAAGGCTTGAAGAATTAAGCAGAAAGGTTTAGCAGAAAGAGAAAGAACTGTCTTCCATCCATCCATCCATCCATCCAATTTTCTGTTTGGAGGTGGGGTTTTTGTAACATTTAAATTAAATTATATTTTGTTAGTCTCCCTTGTTTTAACTCATGCCAGCCCTGGATAATAGTTTTCTTACAGCTTCTACCATCCTAAAGCTGGAAACCATTTTTCTCACTTGAATGAGTCACCGTCTTCCCTCCCCCAGCACATACACATACACACACCAGCTGCTTGAAGAGAAGTGTGAGAGGCAAGGAGAAAAGGGAAATATTTTTGGAAGTGAAAAAGGAAGGGACTCGGAGGGAGAGAGGGAGGGAGGCAAATGAGATTGTGTGTGCCCTGGAGGGGAATAGAGGGCAGGTAGCAGCATTAGCTCAGCTGTGTACTCAAGCTAAATACCCACTGCTGAGGGGTAATGCATGTTAGTTCCAGCCCTGTCTGACACTAACCAAGTTTGTCAGCATTTTGACCAAGATGGGACACAGCTGACCAGCTGGGAACATTAATGGAGTGGATGCACAATTGGCTTCATATATTTGTGTGGAATTACGGAGCACGATTTAGAGAGAGCAAATTAGTGAGATTCTGTATTTTGTTGCCAGTTTCTTACTCGAATGTGTGCCCATGTTTATGGGAAAAGGGTGCTGTGCCTGAACAGAAAGCCTTAGTGTATTTTGTTTTTTGTAGGTTTGACCCAGAGAGATTCAATGAGGAATCAGCCATGAAAAACCTGTCCTTGTTGGGTTTTTCAGGAAGCCAGGAGTGCCCGGAGCTGAGGTGAGCATAGGAAAGGGGGTCTTTGTGAGTCTCTCTGGCAGAACAGGAGAGGAGGTGCTTTCAGCATCTTCCTGGTACTGCTGGTACAAACTGTCCAAGCTAGCTGTTGTCCTTTGGCACATTTGCATCATAGCAAGGTTTTTATTCTTTTCTCCTGATTCTTCCCTCAGGTTTGCCTATCTGGTGACTACAGTCCTGCTGAGTGTGCTGGTAAGGAAACTGTATCTCCACCCAGTGAAAGGACAAGTCATGGAGACAAAATATGAACTGGTAACCTCACCAAAGGAGGAAGCCTGGATAACGGTGTCCAAGAGAAGCTAAGAGGAAGCAAAACAAGGGTTTGAAAATGCCAATAGAGAAGTTCTGAGCAAGGGTCTTGAGGAGAATCATGCTGGCACCACGTTGACTCAGCCAAGGAATTTTACATCCAGTTTTTTTTACCTTCTACATTCTTAAGCACATGCCTATCTCGGGTACTTTTTTTAACTCAACTAGTAGTCATATTAAAGTAGATTTAATCTGTATGCCTTTTTTACATTTGCTTTTGGATTTCTGGCCAAATCATTGCAGAGGAAGCAACAAAACCTTTCAGTGATATATGTATGAACTATTGGGTATCAGCTAGTCAAAGACCAGCCCCTTTCCAATAGCAGCCAGAGCTGGATAAGAGTGCCTCTGTTATCCAGTGGAATGCTTCTTCATGGATCCTAACTAGATAAGATCTTGGAGACACAAGGACAAAGCCTTTCTCTATATATAGGTATTTTTATTCAAAGTGTCTTTCCTTCCCTTGAGCTATATCTATAACTGTCAAGAAGAGCAGATACATCTTGTGAGAAGTATGTGTGAGTGTGAGAGAGAAAGAGAGAAATAAAGTGGGGTGGGAATTGCACCAGTTCTCTTGCTGTATAATCTTGGCATGCTGTGGGGTTGCAAGAGAAAGAATGACTGAGAAATGCTAGTAAACCAAGAGGAATAAAATTGGTTTGGCCCCTGAGAAAACAGAAGTATCAGTAATAACATAATGAAATTAAATAAAACCGTAGAACAAAGCCCTGAGAAAGGGATTCTCTATCCTGAAAGTTCTGAGGGCAGTGTCTAATATAATCTACATCAGAAGCTGACAGATGCTTTCAGTTCATTCAGCACTGGGTCAGCCTGAGATTGATCATACAAATGCTGGAAAGGCAGAGTGCTGATTTTATAGAGCTCTAGATTAATGTTGTACTTAATAACTTAAAAGCCTTTCAAAGAATCTTTTTCCTCCTCCAAAATGGGTGCCAGCCAAAGCAGCATCAAGTGCTGCATGTTCACATGCTTTTCCCTACTTCTTTCTTTCTCTTTTTGTCCACCACAGGACAGCTCCCGAAAGATTTTTCAGAGTGCCACTGAAAAGGTTGTGAAGCAGGAACCTCTTCCTCCATCATCACATTGGAGTAATTGCCATCTGACTTCCTTTTCAGGTTGTGTTTCTCCCTTTTCTTGCTTACGCAGGATCACCCTTTATCTTCATTTCCTTTATCAGGAAATCTACTGGTCTTGTAAAAATGTTCTTGCTCTTGTATTGCTGCCGAGTGCCAGCCTGAATGCAGTCCTGTCAGCTCTTATGGAGTTAACATCTGATGCCAGCCTCTGTGGGCACAAGACAAAGAAAATTCTGCTCTTGGGTTTAATGTGTCAGCTCTGCTTTTGGTCGAGCTGTAGAGATTCAGATCCCCTTCAGTGCAGCTTCTGTTGGGGGAGAGGTGACACAGAGATGCTGGGCAGAAAAAGGAGGGTTGTGCAGTTCAGCTTCCTGCCTCTCTTGCATTGATTTTTATAATGAACTGCAAGAAAGCTCTTGCTAATCTGACCTCCACTTAACTCAAGGTTGGTCATGTCCCCAGATAGCAATTCGTGTTAGGCTTTGCTTCACTGCTTATGCAAACAGGCCTATTTTTCTTGAAGGTTGCAGATGTTTCCTAAACCACCTGGAGAAATCAGCATGATAAAGGATTTTAGTTTAAATCATCCTTGGTGTGCAGAGGAGGTAAAACAGAGGTCAAGGTATTGCCTTCTTGGGAAAATATGGTAGGATAACATTGTCCCTGCCAGGAACTTGACAAGGAATATAATTGTGTGGCAGAAATCTGCTTTCTTTTAGCTGTGTCATAGGAGTGAAGCTTTTGGACACTAGAAAAGCTTCCCAAGTGTAATTGTCCAGACTTCTGTTACAGCATTTCTCTGCCTTGCTGGAGCTGTTCAAGCCAACTGCCTTGCAACAACCCTTCCCCAGTTACAGGAATCAGAAATGGGAGTGATTCCATATAATTTGTTATGAATTTCCCATCAGCCTCCACCCACAGAGTCTATCTGGGCCAGTGATCAAGCATGCTACAGGAGTCCATGACTGATACAGGAGAAGAATGTGGCCCAGTGTTCTGGAGAAAGCCAGTGATCAGTTTGTGTTTGCTCAAAACTGTCAAAAAAGCACCCTGACTCATCAGTTAAGGAAATGTGTTGAGCATGGAGGGAAAGGGGGCGGGTGAGGTGCTCTCAAGCATTTGTTATGCACTGCTGGGACACTGAGGTCACAGCCACATTGTTTGCTGAAGTCTGTAAGTTTCCGTTCTTCACTCTATGTGTGTCAGTCATTTCAAACAGCTTAACTACAAAGATTTTAGCCCAGCTGTGGATCCTTGTGCAGCAAACCTTCTTTTTTTGTATGAGAATGTTCATGGATTGGAGCTTTCTCATGAAGTTTTAATCTATTTTGATTTGAAGATTGAAATACCAGTTTTCTCCCAATTTCTGCCCTCACCCCTTGTCCAGCATGCGCTATCAGCTGGTTCTTGTTTGGCCTGGCTTCCTCAGGAAGACTTGTGTTCATAGAGTGTTCCCCCTTCCCACTCATGTTTGGCTACTTTCTCCGTTCTCTTCTCACAAGAAGTAACTTCTGAGCCTTGGGCCAAATCAGCTGCATTTGACAGAGATCAGGGTATGAAATGTCAACACTGTTGTGTTCCTGCAAATTTTGTGGGGAAAAAAAAAAGAGAAAAGTGTCTGGACATAGGGAGTCTAGATGTGTCACAAGATTGCAGTCAAAGCTGAAGCATTGTTAGATGCTGGCCTGGGGAAAAGCCTGAGTCAGCGCCTGCACTGTAGCAGATAGCCAGTCTCAGGAGTCCAGTCAGTAAAGAACAGGGTTTTGTCAGTCCTGCTGCTCAGCCCCATGCACTAAGGACACATCTAAAGCCCAGAGATCCCTTCTGATAGTAACATGGACATGTGGGCAAGCATTGCAACCTGTGGGAAAAAATGCCTTGGTCTAGGAAGAAAGCCAAGGGGGAGGGATTACTTCTATAAGATAGGGAATAATTTCTTTTTATGCTTCATATTTCTGCTCTACACCAGCAAGCTGCTTCACAAATTCAACAGGTGGTTTTGGAAAGCATACAGAAAAGCTGTCATTTCATTCCTTGGACTCTTACTGTAGAACAGGTTTCTACAGAGAGCTGCAAACTCACAGAAGATGCTGAATATATCCCTGTGCCTGTGCAACCTGCTGCCCTCAGCAGCAGGCAGCCAGTGCAGGTGGTGGGAGCAGTCAGGCCATCCCTAATGGGCTGTTTATGGCTGGCACAGCCTTTTACTTTTGCCCCTTGTATTGGTGGCAACTGGTGAGACAGTCAACACAGCTCTGAGCAGAGCAAACAGCTGAGCTATCCTCCCACCGTCTCCCAAATATCCATGAATGGTGTTACCTCTACATTTTAATTAACCTGGGCTACATAGAGAGGCACTATTGTACATTATTAATATCCTTCTGTTCCCAGCAGTTTAAGAACTTGCTGGTAATGGCTGTGGCATGCAGCACAGGTTTGCGGGCTGCATGTTTTATTTTCCATCATTAAATGGGAAGGATGGTCTTGGCAACTTCTGTCCTACTTGCTGCAAAAGTAAATGTTGGTTATTGGGCAGAGTGGATGCTTGCTGATTTAAAATACCTTGGGCAGCTCTCGTGCCAGCTCCCCCATTAGCTGTGCAATTATGTGAACCTGAGGCTGCTGGCAATCCAAACTGGGAAAACACTGTCTCTCACCTGCATAGTTTGCTGGTGAACATTTTGGTGCTGCTTTAACTCACAGGTCAGCAGCATTGCTTTCTCTTTACTTCTTTGTACATGTTCCCCACTGACAGCAGGAGATACCTGTCCAGTCTCCCCCCTCAACAGTGCCATGTATGACCTGCCCAAAGTTTCTGCTAATTCTGTGGAAGGGGCTCCCTGACACTGACCATTGCATACAGATATATCTCAATCAGCAGAGTGAAGCCTGTAGCTTATTGACTTCCTTTTTGTGCTCAGATCCTTTTGTAGTTTTGGGGCAAAAAGAATGGGGTAGAGCAGTACTACCTTCAGGAAAGCACTTTGAACATATAGGACCTCAGCTGCCTCCCAACCCCTTTTATCAAAAGTGGCAAGGAAGGTGGAAAAAGGCTTGTACTGAGAAGGAAAATCTTCATCACTTGTGGGTTATGCCACCAAGAAGTGAAACTGTTTTAATTACAATGGCAGCTCTTGCTGCTTCTTTCCACTTGTGCGAAACAAGAATTGCTGGAAAATATTCCAGACATCTTTTTCTGGAGCCTGAGGGTATGATCCCATCTTGACAGCTCTCTGTAGTTCAACTCAGGAGTGGATTTTAGCAATCACTTTTGAAGTAGGCAAAAGGCCTGTTTGACATCCCTTAGGATTCAATGCTAGGGTTTTGGTGGTAGCAGACAGAGAAGAGGAACTACCACATGAAAGAAAAAAAGATGAAGAAAGTGTTCTTCACATATGGAGGGTGGAGAAGGAGACAAGATAAGGGTTTCCATGGCAACATTCCTTGAAGATAAGTATTTTTAAATCTGTGTGAATTTTAGCATTGAAAACACAGTTGTGTTTTCCACAAAAAGATTTGGGGGAGGGCTGGAGTAGGAAGAATTTTTCCCCCTGCTTTTCAGGTCATTCCAGTTTGTTTTACAGAGGAGCCTGAACCCAAGCTAAATGAAGTATGTGTGATTGCTATGATGTTAATGCTTCTGTAAAGAAAGCCTTGCTTCCAGGAGGCATAAAGCATCAGTCATAGTTCTATATCAGCACCAACATCTTTGGCGCAAGCACTTGATCATCTCTTTAATGGGAAAAGTAGTTTAAATAGATCAAGGCTAGACCAGTTAAAAGTCACAAGGACAAATCTTGCAGGATTCCACATTAAAACTGGTGTAACTTGGCATGAAGTCTTAATTATAATTGATGTACAGATAAGTGATAGTAGTAGTAATGAGGTAGCTGAGACTTTTTGCCTTGGCCAAAGAGTGGAGGATGAGAACTGAAAAAGCAGAGAAGGCAGCTAAAATGTGTCCCTGGTGTGTGTCCCAGTTACTTCAATGACATCGAAACATCCCTGTAGGGGGACAAGTGATGCTCCAGTGACACTGCTATGCAGGAAATATTTGCTCTTGATATGGGGTTGGGGTCACCTCTGAACCTCTCTGAAGCTTCTCTGCTCCGGTCTCTGCATTGCTGAACCACTCACGGGCACTGGCACGCTCTGCTGCCACCTCTCTGCTGGCATCCAGGCAGGTCAGCTCTGTCACAAGCCTGGCAGTGAGACATCCAATGCTGTGTGCCTGCTTGGCTGCCAACTTTGTAGTCTCACTAAAAAAGGCTATTTTTTTTTTTAAACAGTTGCTTCCAACTCAGTGGTGACTCAGACACTGCAGCAAGGGTAAAGTGATCATCTTCCCCTTCAAAGCTTTACAGCAGAAGTCCCTGGGTATCCTCTCTAAATGAGAGCTTGCTGAACCCCACCATCAACTGGATTCAGATCTTTAATTTAACTGATGGAACGAGATGATCCAGCAGTCCTGTGTACCTGCTGGCTCAGGGCTTGTGTTTCAGCAATAGACTAAATGATTTCTACAAGTACTTTGTATTCAGAAGCCCTGGGGAGGGGAGGCTGGGAAAGAATGAATAGTCATATATAAAAGAGAAGGGGGCAATTCACCCATTAAGGCTCTTTCACTGACCAAATTTCCCTGGGCCATGAATCCAGGAAAGGAACAAAAATACATTGGAATAGTAAGAGAAAAACAGTCGTATTTTGCTATTTATCCTTTGGGGTGAGGGACGGGAAGCAAATAAGGGTGTCTAAAAAAGCATAATTCATACTGTCAGAAGCATGGAAATTGGCACCTAGTAGTATTGTTTCATACAGAAGAAGCAAGGCTCAGATCTAGCTAAGATGACTTGTCAACTTCCCTACATCTTCATCGATAGAACCTACCAGCAGCGTGGAAAAAAGCTGCACTTCTTATGTTACTGTTGGATCCTCTATAAAGATTCACTGTTGTCAGATACATCATTTCTAATTCTGGGAATAATATGGTGCCCTGACGTTAGCACTAACGTGAAAATGCATACTCTGGCTTGGACTAAAAAGCAACTGACTTGCTCATGTAGGACTTGTTAGATTTTAGTTACTGATTATGTATATCATGTTTATTCTGTCTCTTCCTTTAAGACCACTGTGGTATTTTGTGCTGCACTCTCATGCTCTAGCTCCTTACAGCTGAACTGGAGATGCAGGAAAACTGCCATACCTAAATAACACAAGTGCAGCAACTTCAGTATCCAGTATCCAGAAGCTGACTCTTCCTCCATCCATGGATGCATGAGAGCCAGCCAGGCACAGTGTCAGGGCTCAGGACTCCGTGGGCGTTAGACAGCACTGATGGGATTGCTGCTGTGCAGGGGAGCGGAAGAACTGCCTTGTTGCACCATGTACGAGTGTTCTTACACAGCTCTAAGCTTTCACAAATGCAGTGTCCAGGCCAAAAAGACCTGCCTTCTGGCAACTTGTCTGCAACCTGCAACTGTCCTACTTGGGGATAAAGGTGTGGCAGATTTGTTTCTGAACATGTCCTGGCTTTATGAGGGGGCTCTCCTGCTTTTTCAAGCCCTTCCAGAAGTCTGAATGGGAGAAAGGTGCCTTAAGAGGAGAGGAGTGAGCTGTGTGAGTTAATGGGAGCTGACAGGGATGCCTGCAAGAATACACCATCACATATGATGGGAAACCAACTAGACCCATGCCCCACATTCATTGGTAAGCAAGATATTTGGGAACAGAGAGCGTGTTTGAAGTACTTAGTTCTTCTGCTGTGCAGAATTCATACTAAATTTGACAGAGCCTGTGCCTTGATTTGATGATACCATTCTCCTAAAAGGAAGAAGCAAATTGATTGCTTGTTAACAGAATGCTCTAAATTAACCTCAGGCATGGGCCTGGGCCTGCAAACCTTTGCATGACTGTGACTATTATTTATGCTGTATGATTGCATTGAATACCGCTGACTGTTCAATATATTGGCCTGGCACAGCTGCGCTGAAATTTTAGTTGTGGCTTTCAGTTGTTGGAAACGAGATTTTTGAAGCTGTTTAGGTGTTTGGACTTTGAATACCCCATTAAGCACCTACTTGACTATTTAAATGCCTAGATGTCTTTGTACATCTAGTGTTGCCATAATGCAAAAAAAAAGGAAATTATATAGAAGGTTTGCTGGGTCAGGCCTCTGGTTTCATATCCCAGCAGTGATAACTAGGTATATACACCGTAGGTCACCGCAAACGTCTTTTCTGCTTGAGGAGTCTTGATGGTGACTTTTACATAGTAGAGATAAAAACACTGCAAACATACATCCTGCATTAGCCTTTATGTATTTTATAGCTGTACTGCTCTAGTGTGGTAAACTGAGCTGAGCAATCACATTTTTTCAATTATCCTCAAGAACAGGAAATCCTTATCACCTCTGTGTTTCTTTCTCCCACTACTGCAGCATTGGTCTTGAAATTGTCACCACAGCTCAAAATCCTCATTCTGTAAATTAAACTGTGATTTAAAAAAATTTTACAGTACAGCCTCCTCATAAAACTCCACAAGTCTTTTACTGATGTGACTCACTCAATTACTCATGTGGGCAGACGTTCAGATAATAAAAGTAGTTAATGGAAAGCTGTGAGAAATACTGCTGGTTCCTGAGGAGGCAGCCGGGGGAAGGCTACTGCGGGTATTTTATCCGAAGAGCTGCTGAATTCACTGAGCTCCCAGCCATTTTTTTAAGATAAGGATTTCTCCGTTCTGCTTTTTCTTTTGTATAAGAACAGCTTGAGAAATCAGACTGGCAACAGAGAAGCAAAAGCACACCAGCTGTACATGTTTGCTCTTCTGCTCCTCTTCCTACATATTAGGGATGATAGCCAGCCTGTGCCCTGAAAAAATCTCTTTATCCTAGTGATGTATGTACCTAAACAACACTCAGTACTCTAATGAGCTCTGGATTCCTGAATCAAGGAGTGGAACTAACAAGTAGCTAAATAACCCCTTTGTTTGGAGGTGTCACATATACTGACAAGGATCAGATTTTTCTGGAATTAATAATAGTGCCTTGAGTTTGGTGTGCAATAGGTCAGGTAATACATCTAGAAAGCAGGTTTCAATGACATTTCAGTGAGTGCACATTAGAGGAATATGGCACATTTTGAAGTTGGTGAGGCAGAAAGGTACTGAAGAGTAGTAAGGTACCACTTGGATGTAAGAGCTCCCTTACAAAATGAAATTACATGTATGATGACTTCAAAGAGACTTAGAATTAAGCCAAAACTGGAACTAATGTAAGTGGACCAGCTGATTAGAGCTAAGGGCTAACTGGCATTCGCAAAACAACCAGAGCAGTTAACTCTTGTTTGTGTGGCTCTGAGGCTGCTAGATTTCCTTACAAATGGCTGTGTGAGCCCATTCCAACAACAGTGCTGGATATAGAAAGAGAGAGGACATGAGGATATGCTCATTTTTCATGCAGAATGAGCTGCAGGGAGACTATGGCTTGACTTGTAAAATAGAGCTTCTGGCACAGAGAAGCAGTGCATGGATGTTGAGGCTCTGGATCAGAGAAAGTAAGCTGTCAAATTATATTTAGCGACTACATGCTGCAGGAAAGCGCAGAGAGGGAAGGAGGGAACTATTGCGTAGCTGGGCCCCATGAGTAGTGAGCACACAGAGCAGGGAATGAGGCTGTTAAGAGAGGATGAATTGCCTTGGTGTTCCTGATTCAAATAAATCTCTGTGTGAGGCCAGGGATCTGCACAGACTTGTATGACTAGTTTGATCAGCAGAACCCTGCTTTATTTATCCCCAGACTCCATCAGGTGAAGAGTGACCAACTTGTGGCCTTCCAGCCATTCCCTCTGCCCTCACCCTAGGGATGTTTCCCACAGCAATGCCATTCCCAGCTGGGGAAGCAGTAGTCTGATGGGGGCTCTTGGAACCAATATCTCAAACTGCTGTACAGCCCAGCTGCACACCCGGCTCAGTCCCAACCCATCAGAAGCTTGTTAGCTAAGGCTGGCATCTGCAAAATAGGTTACCCTGCTCCATTTGAATTCAGGGGTGTGAGTGCTCCATTGTGTTCCCTGGAAAGCCCAGTTCTAAAGAGATGAAGGTGGAAAAAAAGTCCTTTATACCTGTATGAGATAGATCAAACCTTGTGTGCTGACATGTGACAGTTCATCATTTGGGTCCTGTCTTATACTCCAGGGTGCAGAGATTGTGACTGACTAGTTTATAGTAGGATAGGTACATCTTAGGCTCTAATTCTTTCCTGATAAAAGCTTACTTGTATGATTCAGAGATGTCTTTGCCTTTCCTATAAATAAGGCCTTTAAGCTCCCTCTCAGAGGAGACAGTGCGGGGAGGCCTGGCTGCCTTCTCTGCATAAATATTTCTGTCAAACTGGATTCAGGCTGAGGTGGGTGAAACTGCTGCACCAACAGGGAGCCATTGACTTCCATCTCCTGTTAGGCAGTACTGCATCATTGAGATTTGTGTTGTTACTGTACTGTCAAAAATAGCTGTGAGTGAGAGAAATGCTCCCATGTGTTCACCAAGCAGGAGGACAGAGCAGTTAGGAGAAGGAGGGAGATGCAGACTGTGATAGTGAACAGAAGATGTGCAAGGAGGAAATGCCTTCACAGTCTCATGAAAGGGTGACCGTGATGCGTGATGGAAGGAGGAAGGGTGACTTCACAGATGTAATTTATTATACTTCCTATGCAAGGGAGTTATGCTAGTTCCAGAAAAAACACACACTGGTTTGGTGCCTCCTAAGAATATGCAAGGTCATAAAATTTTTTAGAAGTGGTTTATATGGTAAAAGCATGATTACCACATGGTAGGATTAGAAAAGCAGGATTAGCAAAGCTCCAGGGAATGAGTCCTGGAGTTATATGAGTACCTAAAAATCTGAACTTTATTACATACAGGGAGAAACGAAGACCACAGAGAACAGTTCTACCTGTTGCAGCTGCTGCAGATCAAACTTGCAAATGTGAAAAAAGCATCAGTAGGTCGGTAACATCTACTCCAGTCTGTAGTGAGCAAGAATCAATAGTTCAGAAAGGATGAATTTTCACTTGTGCTGTACTGGAGCATTAACTCCTCTGTCTACCCTTTAGGGGCTCAGCAGCTATATCTGATCCTACCCGGGGAGATGCCACAGGGTCAGGACAGGGTGAAAAATAACTGACAATTGACCTGGGTTAGCATCTTAGAGAAGGAATACCAGCAGGAAAGAAAAACAAATTAGAGTGGTTGGTTCTTTCTTCCTCTGCTCCTTGAGTGCTTGTCGTTTGAACCCTTGGAGGGAAACTGATGAGCAACTACGCTTTGTGCTGGTTTCTCTTTGAGGCCATTTGTTGCCTGTTTCCTTTTTAAGTCTGAAATGTTAGAAAGAGATCATTATTTTTCCTATTTAGCTTGACCTCTTCCTTCCTGGGAAAGTTCTTCCCCTTGTACTTGCTCTGTTCTTTTCACACAGTGCTGTGTTGAAGTAAAGTTCAACAGAAAACTTGAATTCCTAGAAAAAAAATTGGGACTTGGAATGAGACATTCCCTCGAACAGACACTCTGAAACTCTGCAAACATATCCTGACTCTCTCTGGAGGTGATGTGAGGTATCAGATGTCAACCATGCAAAATGAAAATATGTGCATTGCTGAAATAACAATGTTAGGGCAAACACTTCCATGAGATGGGAACTACTCTGTGGGTCATCTCTTCTACTTTGTGCAGCAAGCCCTCTACTCAGCTGCAGTTTCTCCTAAGGAGAGAGGTTATCTGTGGTTACAGTCTTGATTGCCCAGCAAATTGCTGAATGCCTGAGGAAGCAGGAGGAGAATGTGCAGCTTCAGGCTGTGTGGGTTTTTCAATCTGGTTTACAGTGAGCACTGGAGGTTGAGTGTATAAAATGCCTCCAGATCCTGACACCATTTGTTGTGGCATTGGACAGATGCATCCTGTGCTGGGAGGCCACCCCTTGCATTCTGGAACAGCTGTGGGAGTTAAATAAACTTCTATTTGCTTCAGGTGCTTTGGATCATGAGACTGGCAAAGGCTGGCTGGCCATCCAGGCAGAGGCAGATGCAGACACTGTGAAGTGAGCATGACTGGGTCTTTGTTGAGGCAGTGAAGATACATACTTCAGTTACAGACTATTTTCTTCACTTACCCAGTTTTCCTTCCCTCTCTCCACTAAATGTTACCCTTCAGCTGAAGGGCCTATATATATGGTCAGTACACATGACCAGAACTTTGGTGTCAGAGTCCTTTGTCCTTTATACAGCAGCAAATCTGCTCAGCTCCATGTGATGTAGCAGCACAGGGATTTTTTCTTTTGTTTCTACTGTTTACAAAATGTGGGGAAAAAAAAGTTAAAGGAAAAATGGTTATAAAACTAGAGCAGAGTTATATAAACACGTGAACTGAAAACCTGCAGGAGGATCTGTCTGAGATCTGACCTGGTCATTTGTCTGAAGAGGATGTTTACTCACACCACCCGATGTGGTGACTGTGCTGTCCAGTTCTCCATAGAGCAAAGTAAATGGAAGAGGCTTTTGGCTGTGATTTCTTACTGTGGTGCAAAAAATAGGTGGCCTTTGAACTACCCCATTATTACTTTTCTCTAATAAAGAATTGGTGATTCAAACTGTATACAGATCACCCACACAGAGTTCCCAGCTGGAAGAGTGCACATGACCAAAGGGTCGGTTCATCTGTGCAAACTGTTGTGAGTAGGAAACATCCTTGGGTGATGGGCAGAGGTAAAAACCTAATGCATGAAAGAGAACTTGGAAGAATAGTGGTCTCACTGTGCTTTTGGATCTTGACCTCCAATATAAACTCTCTAAACTGCTTGCCTTTCTATTTTCTAGTGACTGTTTGAACGGCACCTTTAGGTGCCGTTTCCTTCTCAGTCTTAAAGATACTGATCTAAGGGAAAATCTTGCACAAAAGGACTGGGGAAAAGCTAGAAAAGTTAAAGTGTGTCATAAATTAGGGCTGAGAGAATATAAAAAAATAGTTTAGCACAGCACTTGACAGATGGGAAGTCATTTATGTAAATTTAGGGAAGTAGTGGTTGGATTCAATTGGTCTAATTTAAACACTATTTCTAATTATTTTTGGTATGTATACAGAGGATTATATGATGGCCATTATTCTGACAGGAAGGCTCTTTATATTTAAATTTAAATCTGTAAATTATTACCCTATTAAAATGTAAACATGCTGTGATAACAAGCACCTGATTATGCAGACAGGTTAGTCCAGCTACTCTGGTGAACAGCTGTGTGCATGTATTTCAGATAATGCTTTTTTTTACAGCCTAAAAACCACAAGCAAGCCTTTGAGAGGTCAAGAGATGTCTGACCCACAGGTGGGAGCTGCCTGTAAGGAGGTTTGCTGACACTGAGTGCAGATCTGAGAGCAGATGGGCTCTCACAGGTTTCCACTGAAAGCAGGCCCTGGCGGCACCCAAAAGTACAGAGGGAAGATGACACAATTAACAATTCCCCCTCCCTACAGTCTGGTGCTGCTAATCCCAAGTTAAAACTCCTAACAGCATCTTTGGAGAACCTTCCTCTTCACATCTTGACAATTTTCTCCTTTTTGCCAAGAGA